CTGCCCTCTCTGCAAAATTGGCATACCATACATTGACAATAATTTTGAAAAAATTTGAACCATGTTAAAAACCTACAATATTCACACTTACCCTCTTATTAACAATAAACTGCAGCATATCGTCCGCTTAGGAAAAGATACAACGAATAAACGTAAACAGACAAATGTAGTATATAAGTTCTATTGTAAAAATTGTCCTGCGTCATATGTGGGTGAAACAAAGCGAGCGGCAGAGGTCCGCATTAGTGAACATATGAAAATTAAAAACTCTGATTCCGTTGTTTGTCCACACCAAATCAATTTTGACCATGAATTCGATTTTGATAACTTTAAAATCCTTGACAAAGAATCCAATTACAAAAAAAGAATTATTTCTGAAATGCTTTATATAAAACTCGACAAAGACAACATCAATAGAAGGGAGGATGTGCTTTCCTTTAATAGAGCATACCTTCCTTTATTACAAAAGTTTAAATGTCCCGATCGAGTTCATCGCCCTTTATCGTCTACCTTTGCGGCTCCGCCTATATAAGCGCTGGCTTGTTGTTATAATTTATTGTCAGTCGATAGCACAACAGGTGACGAGTAAGTCAACCAAACTTACGAATTCTTGCGTACCTGCGGTAACAATTTACATTAAAATTTATTGTATTTTGTGTTTGAGCCTTCCAGATCACTCATTGTGTGTTTTTAATTTTAATTTTGTAGCCTGATGAAGCTGACGCATATTGTCAGCGAAACGTTGTACATTAATAAATCAATGCAAGAAAATTTAAATACACTTTACTTGTATATATTTATTTTCTCATTTTTCGCCCCTAACAGATCACTGATCACTTTGAATTTCCAGAAATGGTCGAGATCAAATCTTGACTTTGTCGCAACCAGACTACATAGATAAAATGTTATCCAGATTTGGATATAAAAAACTTCATCCTCAAGGATCTCCTATGGTGACAAACTAAGTGCTGATTCGAGAATTAAAAAACAGAGAATAAACTGTGACGTCAAAAGAGCTGGAAAATTTGAAAAAAAGCTTAATGTACCGTACAGAGAAGCTATCGACAGTTTGCTATATTTGGCTAACACCCTTTGTCCCGATATTGCTTATGCAGTCAACGTTTTAAGCAAACACCAGCTGAACCTTACTAAACAAAATTGGAAAATGATCATAATAGTTTTTCGGTACTTAATAGGGACAAAGAATCTTAGACTTACTTATCGAGAAAAAGGGGACAAATAAGAAGCATATGCAGATGCTAGTTTTGCAGATTGCAAAGGCTCTCTAAGAACTAGTGGCTATGTAATTTGATTATCCGGTGATTCGATTGCTTGGAAAACTCACAAACAAAGTTATGTGTCATAATCAAGCTATCAGGCAGAATATGTCTCAATGAGTGAGGCCTGCCAAGAGTTGGTAGCATTGAACAATTTAATTTAATTGATACTTAACTATTCGCTTGCTCCAATGAAATTATGGTGCGAAAATAGTACAGCTGTCGTCACTGCAAAAATCGGGGGGAATGGCAAGATCAGACATGTGACTGAAGTGCGTGAGCACTATGTAAACAAAAGTGTCTCACTAGATCACTTGTGGAAATAGCTTGGATTAGTTCTAAAGCTTAGATTACTGATTTTTTCACGAAATTGTTATCATTTGAAGTCCATTGTAAGCTGACAAATTTATTATTGAATTCATTCGATAAACAATTTCCTATTCCTTTTATTTATGTGTACAACATGATATTTATATATTTCTTGTCTGTGCAGGCTCGAAGCCTTGAGAGGGCAAAGAGATTAGTTGACAAAGTATACAAGAGTCCTTTCATCCTGCCAGAAGCAGTGGATATGCAGTCGACGATCAACATTTAACATTTTATGTTTCTAAGATTTGATATTTAGTTCTTTAATTTTGGAATCAATAAGATATAAATATTCGTTACTTCTTAAGTCTCATTAGTTTTTAATTATTAAGAGCTATAGTTTGACTTTAAAATTAATTTGATAAGAAAAAAATAATAATTTGCGTAATGTTTCATTGCTGTGATCCAAGTACATTCACTTGTGATTGTATTCGAAACTTATATTCAACTGATTAGAATTATATTGTAAAATTACACATTTTACTGCGAATCATTAAGGCAAAGTTTACCCGGGATATGTTCATTGATATAATGTAATTTTTGATTATTGAAGGCTGTGCTTTTTTAGTAAGTTGACATGTACTCGTAAGGGAATAAGTGTAAGAATATTAGTGGTTGTGGCTTCCTCGCACACGCATGGTATTGCATCTACATATATATATATATATATATGTATAACTGTATACAGTAGCATCGCCTCTCTTTGCTCAGCGCTGATTCTTTCTAATTCGACCACTCGAGCTGTACAGACGCGCTTTCGTTGTGAAAGCCTACGGCTCCTTGTACTACTCGATACCTTTAAATATCTTTCGATAGCAAAAAAGTTATTTCTTGTATTCTTATTGACACTTACTTTGCGTGTGCTTTGCCTAAAACTGTGCCCACCCGCGTAATTGTTAACAAAAAAAAAAAAAATACTAAACGAATTATTGTTAACAATGTTTAGAAATTCTTTTCGTAACACTGTTTTTTTTTTATTACTTTGTAAAAATTATTCATTTTTCGTGTAAACATTACATAACCACTTGAGTTTCCATCTGTTTCAGAAAAGATTATTTTTGTACTGCTGATGCAGTTCGTTATGGAATTCTGTAAAAAAAATCTATTACGATAAAAGCTGTTCAAAATAAAAAATGTGTATGAATTTTATTCAAAGTTTTACCAATTGTGATTAGTGATGTCATGCTTTCTATAAATAAGATTCTCCCCCATTACACGCTGGAACTCTTGTAAATTTACTCCGTCATAGGTGCATATACATGTTATCTGAAATACACCAACATATGCAGTGGTGCTCTTACAGAATAGAAAGTATTATAACTATACTATTTGTAGGGGACACTTAAAATAGTTGGGTACTCTTGTTCTAACTTACTAATTTCATTTGAATAGATACAATAATGTCTGTAATAATTTACAAACGTTTACCTCTCTCAAAAACTTAAAACTTGTTACAAATACTCGTCAGTTATAAGAACAACTGCTTTTTTAATGACGGACTCAAGATCGTCTTGTAGAGTTTGGGACTACACTACTTCGTGAAGTGGAAGCATTTCGTCATCTGAAAATTTTTCTTCAAGACGCATTAGAACAATTATTTTTTTTATTTATTGTACATGTTAGGGATGTAAGCAGTTGTAAAACTGTCAAATCATTCGTAGATACAGTACATTTAGCAAAACAAGCCAAATTCCTTTGAGAAGCAGTCTTATGGAGAGGAGTATTGCAAACATTCGTGGGGTATAATTTGCGATAACATAGTGACTAACTTTAACGTTTACAGGCCTGTGCGGAAAAGTGCATGGTTCAACTCAATGCTTACTCGTTCTACTTTATTGATTCCTACAAATATAATTACTCAGAAAATATTAGCACGTACAAGCACATATACATGCGCGTACACATGTGTCCATTTTCATGCATTCGTGTAGGTAAGTGGTCAAAGTGGTATAAAACAGGTGATTTCCTCCCTCCACTTAGAGTGGCAGCAGCCACCCAGTTGGAGGGGGCATTCCCATACCTTTACGTTACAGCTTTATCTTCTATGTTACTGTTTCTGTTGCCACGATTTTTTTTTTAATTTGTGGTTAATAATGAGACTATCGATTTCTAGACAATTTATTTACTTTAATGGTTCTAAAAATGATTGATTTTACTCAACTTAAATCAAGCTGTCAGGAGTACCTGCTTTTTCTATTGTTTTATATTTCTTGCTACTCTATAGGAATGATATATTTACCATCAACATGGGTTTTATTTTCGTCTAGAAGCTTTGAGTTTTACATTAAGGCCTCATTCTTTTAGGAGGTCGATGTGCAGGGGAAAGTTGAAGAAGGCTGCTTAAAAATATGAAGAGGTTGGGGAGAGATATTTTTTGTGGGATATTTTTTATTGGCTTAGTTTAAGTAAGAAATATTAATAATTTTCTCTTATTTTAAGAAGGAGGGTACAAAACAATTTAAAATATTCAGGTTAGAAAGGTAGGGTTGCTGACTACGTTCAGGTCTGACAATTATGTAATATAGTATACGTGTCTGATATTAACGTGTAATTTTACAGGTCTGATACATTCTAAATTCTGTAAAAGAAGCAAACAGCCTAAGAGACCCTTAGCTCTGACCGTATCACCAGAGGCTCTTACAATGTCTGAAACTATCATATCACAACCGATTGATAAGAATTCATTTTCAGTGTAAAAGTTGGTGATAAGCATTAAATACATTGTAAATTGAATTTGGGAAAAATATTAGTATGATTTTAAGCAATATAAATCTGGCATTAAATTTTACGCAGAATAGCAAAATATATCTCTAGCACTGACTTAGCCATACTGATAAGTCTTGTCAACGATTTACATATGAAATACGATTTAATCCTGATTTTTTAAAGATTATTTTGAGTAGCTCTCAAAGTATCAATTGAGTTCTCATTAGGTAACAACTCTATCGCTCCAAAAAATACAACTACGTATCTTAACTGTGACAAAAACGCCAATTACTAATATTATTGGCACAGCTATGATAACTAATTTTATTAACGTGCCCAAGACAAAACGGATCAAGTTTTTTTTGGTCACCAACTATTTTAAGACTTGCGGTCATACAAAAGGGTCCTAGGGTAACGGGTCTCTCCAAAAAGTGAAATGCTTTCGATACTTCGATAGTCTTTGCTTGGACGTGATAAGTAGTGATTTTGATTTTTTATTTAAAATTTCTATTGGTATTTCTACGCCTATTGATAACGTTATTGTATATTTATTGAACGTTTCTAAAAGCTGTTATTTTATCATGTAACTAACACTTAATAATATTTATTTCAGTAATATTATTATAAAAGCTTTTTATATTTTAGGGGCTGCTGTTGGCTTAGGAGTTTTTATGATGATAATGGCAGGAATTTTGGCTGTAATTTTTCCACGGCTCATCAAAATAGTTATTAACAAAGAGATTTCATTGAATGAGGGAAGTAGAACATTTGGTTGGTGGAAAAAGCCCCCAGTAACCCCACAAATGCATGTGTATATTTACAACGTGACAAATGCAGATGAGTTTCTAAATAATGGCGATAAACCTGTCCTCAAGGAACTTGGACCTTACGTTTACCTTGAGAAATGGGAAAAAGTGAACATAAAATTCAACATTAATAGTACCGTTACCTATAATGTTAAAAAGACGTTTACTTTCTCTGAGGTATGTAGTTTCTGACGTATTATTTACAATATTGAAATATCACATGTTCTTTCTATTTTTACGTTGCAATTTGATGAGTATAACCTTATCAACAAACATGCTGTATCATTTTCTTATCGATGCACATATTTTTAAATATTTACAGGAATCTAAATCAAACTTTTAAAGTTAATTTCACTCAAGATTAAAATATTTTAGTATTAAGAAGAATAATGAATAAGACAAACATCACTTATCTATGAGTAATGAGTAACAAACAATGTGGTTATCTTCTGGAGTCATTGTTAAGGGTAGCTTTATAATTATTACAGCTTTTTAACTTAGCAATGAAATTATCTTAATGTTAAAGCATTATAGGATAATTTGCTGCAATTAGCTATTTTATTGACTAATACAAACACGTCAAAATACGTTCTTGACTTTAAAAAAAATTAATTAAGCCTGAACAGATGCGTAGAATATTAGCCCAACAACAAAAAAATAATGTCAGACTAATAAAATTAGATTTAATTTAAAAAAAATTTTTTTTTAGTATTATGAAAATAGTCATTGCTAAAATCAAACTTTATTCATTCTTTGGAAAGTTAACTACGTACAGCTACTTTTTTTTAGTTTGCAAATGTAACAAATTACTGTATTATCACACGCTCAATTACGTAGGTTGTAAAGAGCGAGGTAAAAAACTAACTATATGAGAGTAAAATCTTATGCTCTGATTTCATTAGGTATTTTTATCAAAATCAGAAATTTTTTTCATAATATCTTAGGAAAAAAAGAGTTTCTTTACATTTTATAATCCACGAAGTATTTATATTTAAAGGATTATTTTGGCAGCACTTATGATAATTGGAAAAAAAATCTGACAATGAGATCTTACTTTTTTATTTCACTTCTTATATTGTATTCTTCACCATTTTATATGCTGAATCAATCTTTTAAAGTATGGTCATGATTTATTCATTAAAAAGTGGAGAATGTGTGTGAACTTTTTTTTTTATAAAATAGCTAATTATTAAGTAAAAAATAATTTAAATCTACAAACTCAAATTTACCTCATTGGTGAGGTAAGACAATTTGACTATTATTATACTGCCTTTTGTCAGGTTTTTAATTAAATATCAGTATAAAGAAATAACTTAATCCTTTTTGTAATTTAGAGTTTAACCAAGCATTGAGCTATTAAGCGCCAAATAATCACTATGCTGTTATGAGGACCCATGTTCCATCGTCTGGAGCTTAAGTAAAAAAAAATTAAATTCAGTTTATAAAAAAACTTTTTCTGTACTCTAAGATTCGTAAAAACTCATAATGCTGATACGATGAAACCATTACTAGTTTCTTATATAGATCAAGTATGCTTCATATGCAGTATTCTTGTTGTATTTACTACAAAACTTTCTATTGTAGTTAGATATTAGTTGTACAGCAACAAGAACTAAATGAATAATACTAAATTTTAAGGTAAACTATTAATCCCTTTTTAATAAATATTCATATAGCGGATAAAAAGCATGAATTAAAAAATTCAGGTTATGTCTTAAATTATAAATTAATTAAGTGATCTTGATTCTTTTCAAGTATGTACTTTAACTCTGTATCAAATATTGTTCAGATCAGTTATTGATGTACTACTTGAGAGTTATAAGCTTATTAAAGTAATATTGAAATCCACAACTTGGTATTAAGAAGCATGACTATTTATTTACACAATTATTTACACAAATCAATATTTCACTGCCCTACTGACAGCCTCTTCAGGATTGGAGATCATGTAGGTGCCAAGACTATATGTAATAGAGACACCCATGGTGCCATGACGAGAATATAGACGCCATGGGTATCCCAATTTTGTGTTGTCTTGGCACCTCCATGATCTCCAATCCTGAAGAAGCTGTTGGTCGGGCAGTGAAATATTTATTTATGTAAATAATTATGTACGTAAATAGTCATACTTCTTAATACCAAGTTGTGGATTTCAATATTATTTATGATGACAAAGAAGCAAGTAAAAGAAGTGAATTAGTACATTATGTCACGAGGCCATAAAGTAGCTGATGTACGGCCACGTGGAGTGTGGCATCACGTGACCGTCCATCAGCCACCTTGTGGCCGAGTGACGTACACGATTTTTCGTCATCCCGTACAGAAAAGTTTGTTTAATAGGTTAATTTTGTTAATGCAGGGGAAAATGAATCGCTCGATGAACCATGCGTTCCTTACAAGAATTGGTTCTTTACACTGAGGTCCTAATGAAGTGCGAACGAATGAAAGATGGATAATCAAACGTGCCCAATAATCGGACCAACCGATTGACCACAAAAAGTTTACGCATGATTCAACAGTGAAAACTAAAAGAATACATATTTTCTTGGATGATTCTTTAAAGTACACTAAAAAAATACTTTCATTAAATGATAAATTATCCTTGGTTTTTCAGTCCTTGTTTTGAATATGTGCTTTTTTATATAGAGCGCAAGACTTTTAAGGTAGCAGTCCAATAGCCATGAAAATTTTTTTAACATTATCTACGAGTAACTCTAAACTTGAAGTAAAGTTTATAAAAAAAAGCACGTAGTAGTAAATTTGATTTCACGTACACAAGAGACGAGAAGCAGATTATACGATGAATGATAAGTATGAGAATATAAGAAACCGGGTAACGCTACTTAGCAGAAGGCACTGAAAAAGTGAAAAGACAATGCGCACATGCGTCTGGCCGTCAAAAAAATACAACTACAACACAACACTTGGCTACCACATGTACATAGATATGAATATTCTTTATAGATATCATATGTACAGATAGATAATCAGTGTGCATTTGAGAGCCAGGACCTCGTAGAAGCACCTCGCTCAGTGGACGTAAAGAAATCCAGCAGCCGTACATTTATCGTTTTACGTCTGACTATGCGGACGTAAACAACAAAATTTACTGTTGGGGATGACAAAAAAAAATTATAAGCTTGCAAAAGCTTAAACTTTCATAATTACAATGTTTGTAAGACAAAAAAGACTTTAATGTATCAAAGTGTTGTTATTCAATCTTACAAAACTCTGTCTAGATATCCTTATAACGAATGGTAACACCATAGCATTAGAGTAGACTTTAACAAAAATTAATTGTTACTAACGGGTAACTCATAAATCAGGCCTTAAGTCCTTTGAAAAAAAAAATCTTAAATTAGAAGAAATATAGGCTAATCCATAAAAAAAACATTCTAAGAAAAGATAAAAAGATGCTAAGCTGCATCTTCAAACTATTAAAGATAAGCTAACATTTAATTCACAATTAAAAAAATCAACTTGGTTAATATTAAATTTCTTGAACTACATAATAATGAGAGTTAAAAATTGTGAAATAATTTGGAAGTTTTTTTTATAAATAGTTGATTTTGAAGAATGCTGTAACAGAAATAGTTTATAAAGAATTCTAATTGAATGTTCAAATATTGTTATAGTTAGTGTCAAATGTACTTTAAATGTGTTACAATAGATTAAGTGTAGGGAGATTATATAACCAAGCTGCAGAATAAGCTGCAACCAAAGAACAGAAGGACTAATAAGACAAACAGGTAGTGATTAAAAGCGGTGCCATACACATTTTTTGTGAAATAGTGGATGCCACACAAAACTCTGTTAATCTTACTTTCCTAATAATGATATTTAATTTGTTTGTATAAGACCCATTGTAACAGGAGTCCAAATAATGCTTAATTTTTGTTACATAAGTTATGCTTGTAACTGTTCAAAATAATTTGGTATTCTTTGGATGGATTAAAAATATATTGAAAGACAAAGATTGGACTGTATCATTAGGAAACGTTATGTAAAGCGAAAACCTCAGGTGTAACCTTTAAGGTAAATTGGAAGTTACTGAACTAAAAGATGAAAGTGTACTTGGGACTTGTAAATCGTTGCAAAGATAAAAAGTATTGCAAAGACAAAAATAGATAATTATGGGGGATGGAACAAAAAGCGTAAGAGAAATTTATAAAATACATCGTATTAACCTGGGCTTCTTATTCGAAAGCTACTTGGATGAAATAAGAAAATATAGCTAGATTACTTATAACATAGTGTCCCTTCACAAAATCATTGTGTAAAGATACCCTGTTTAGAAGGTGTTATTCCAATAAGTTGCTTGTAAACAAGAGAATCCAAAATCTTACTATCTTTCTAGTGGATTTGAGGTACCAAGAAATTTTCAAAAAACATGGGAAAGTGCTCTTTATAGGAAGCGGTTAAAAAGTAAAAAAATTATTATTATTCAAAGTTGACCAGTCTCTATGAAAAACACTCCATACAGGCCATTTGATCCTTAAGTAGAAGACTTTTTTATCGAAAAAATATCACGTCTCCAGGATAACCGAGTGCACAATAAATAGTGATGGTGAGTCACTACAAATACAAAAATGTATAAGCAATTTCAGGTATACTAGAGGGAATTGTATCATGAAGAAATAAATAATAAGAAAGCTTATTATTTACTTGTAAGCTAGTAATGCACTTCTGAACGACTTCAAATTTCCACGTACACTTTTTTCTATTTGAAGTACATAATCCTTATACAATACAATTAATTTCAATAAGTGCGATTTTTTAGTATTTTCAGATTAAAAAAAAAAATTTTTATCTTCAGCTCAGTGTCAAGTACAGTGCACAGTCAGTATGCATCATTAGTCTTATAAATAACAATAAGGCTGATAAGCTCTGGCATGTAAAATGAAAAGAGCTGAATCAGATATCAAGTTTGTTTTTCAAAAACGTAGTATCTTAGCAGACACCCCCAGGCCTAACTAATAGAAGCATAATTTCTTCTGCAGAAATGATTGGTTAATGTTTCATTATTTTTAGGCATATGATGATTAAACAAATTGCACGGGAAAAGTCATGGTTGATGATGATGGTCGATAATGAATGCAATTTCTGGAGATTAATATGCAGAAGTGTTGTGAAAAAGTGAGAAAATTCATCTAGGGGGTAAGTTTCATCTTGGCAGT